ACTGTACACTTTATTGGGGCCTGGAAACCTGTCCTATTTCTTGTAAACTGGCCATAGAAACATCTGCTCCTGTATCTGAAATACCTTTAAATTTCTATTCAAACTGAACTCTATTCCTAGCTATTTCCTTGGGTAATTAGCTGTGCCCAATAGGCTCTGTTTGTGAAGCTAAATCCTCCCTCTCCCCACAGATCCTTGTCTGATGGATGTAAGACCTAGAGAATTTTCCCCTTTTGTTGGGAGCTCTTTCCAGGCCTGTAAAGCACAAATATTAATCACAGCTATAGGGAAGGCAGTGGGGGAGTCTTTAAGGACTCATAGTCTTTCTTGGCTTTTTGTCAAGTCTTTCTCTACACCCTGTTTTCCTTCCTTATTCACCTCCTGCACTGGATTAAGGCAATCTCTAATTAGGGACCAAAGAGTAAACGTTTGTGTCGGAAACTTGTTCAGGCCTTTCACTGGATCTCTGCCTCGCAGGCACTTCCCTACCTTTTCCTAGGTTTCTCTTGGGGCCCAGTTTGGGGCCCACTACTAGTATTTATGCCCTGGTCTGGAGGGCATGGCTCTTTAACCATGGAGGTTGGTGTCTCACTAAATCAAGCCATTTATCAATATAGGGAAATTGGTCTGGATGCCCCGAATCCCTAGTGACCCGATTCCAGATTGCCTGCACTAACTCTGGGTCAAAGGGCCATCCTACCCCAAAAGTGGGCCATTCTAATTTACAGAGAGTGCACAATTTACCCTTTGAGAATTTAATCCCATACCCATATTCGTCTCCAAAAGCTTCCCTGAAGTGCTGTAAGAGGCATCTGAGGGGGATCTTTTGTGAACTTTGCCTATTTCCCATCCTCCCTAAGTAGATAAGTTTTAGCCTTAAGCCAGCCTCAGATTAAACAGAAAAACAGAAAAAAAGAGAAAACTGAGAATTCCCAAGGGCTAAAGATTTGTAGGCTTCCTTGTAGTAAAAGGTCTGTGAGCCAGGATAAAATATCCTCAAACTCTAGTGAGACTGGCCAGCACCAATGTAAATCCTCGAGGAGACAGTGGACAAACAGGCTGAAGCAACAGAATAAGCACATGGACCACATATAAGGAACAGAGACAAAAGAAAACACACAAGACAGAAACTTTTCGCTTTGTCCACTTGGCCATTTCTCGGAGATTTAGACACCTCTTGGCATCGACAGGCCGGTATAACCCCCAGCATGGATTAGGTTTGCAGGTGGAGACCAGAATGTTCCCAAGAATCTGATACTGCCCTTAGCTTTTTTTTTAGTTTATCACGGGACCACAGGTAAGGACTTATAGAGGCTCCATAACAAGTGTTGTGGAGCACGGTCACTCATGAGCAATTACATCCACACAGTCACATTCACACACCAGAAGTTCCCAAGAGGTGATCAGACTCCCCTTCCACCCCAGCACCAGGCCAAGGAAAATTCCTTATCCAGTGGGAACATAATGAACCCCACCCAACGTCTTAGGGGGATCCCGGAGAGGAGAGGTACGCTGTGTCTGGCCCTCTCACTCTCACCCAGAAAGACTAGTCACCCAGAACCTACCTCCAGAGGCTTTTTAGCAGGTCTCCTTAAATCTTTTGGGGATGTCTTGGCATCTCCTGGCTGCTCATCGAAAATCTAAGTAGGATCTCTGGGGCCCTGGAACATTTCAGATGGTACCCCCCCCCCCCCCAAAGAACTATAGGTATCCAGTGGCTGGACTGGGAGAGGCCATTTATCCTAGGTATATATCCCCTGGTGTCATAAAGCACCAGGGATCTTGCTGGGGTCTCCAAATGTTGTAAGGTGTCAGCACGACGACCAGAGATGCATAGCCAAATTGTAAAGGAGCACTTTATTACACTGGTGGGCTGAAGTGGGGCTCTCCTCAAATTGACAGCCCCGAGCCTTCTTTGTTGCTGGCTTATATAGACACAAACTATATATAGAGAAAAAAACTACATTCTTTGTGCTGCTTTTGGGACCGTTAAGAGGGGAGGACTGATAGAAGGGGCACAGGGGCAGCTGTTAGAAGTTAGGGCAACCATTAATCTCTTCTTTCTCATGGTTCCTCTGAGTTTCCCAAGGCCATCATTAACCCCTTATCTTTACAGTTTTCTTTGGGTTTCTCAAGGCCCTTATGTTTACAAAAAAAGAAATTGCCAGGGTGTGTACATGCAGTAACTGAGGGTCAGAATGGAGTTATTACACTATTAATAGTGGCTTAGGAGAAATCCAATTATTCTTGGTACTAAGAGGGAAGAGAAATATCCCTTGAGTTTCCAGGAAATTGACACTATGTGATAAGTGACCCAGTGGACAATATTTTAACAAGATCTCCCAAGTAAATAAGATTAATGGATTTTCCCGGCCAGTGTGGCTCAGTGGATTGAGCGGTGACCCATGGACTGAGAGGTACCAGTTTGATTCCTGGTCAGGGCAGCCGTTCGATGGTTCTCACATCAATGTTTCTCTCCATCTCTTCCTTCCTCTCTCCCTCCTATTCTATCTGAAGATAAATGCAAAAAATGTCCTCGGGTAAGGATAAAAAAAAATCAATAAAAACATATTTTAAAAAAGATTAGTGGATTTTAATGCCCCTTCGGTATTAGCTGATGGGAGGTATCAAAGCACAATTCAAAAAAGCTGATTCTGTGAAGGAAGAAAAGACTGTAGGTTAAGTATTCAGTTCTCTGAAGTTCTGGTTTAATATAAGGACAAAATTCAAAGTGCCTCAAGCAGCACTTTCCAGACCTTTGCCATGCATCCAGGCTGATGGTTACATGAAAAGCTCATTCCCAGAACTACCTGGATCATCACTGTTTTTGTGATATACTGCAAAAACAGCCATAAAATTAAAAGAAAAAAGGTAAAATGCTAGGGATGTAGTTTCTTCTGCCAAAACGTTGAGTATTTCCCCATCTTTTGAATTTGGGTTGGCCTTATAACTTGCTTTGACTAATGTAATGAGAGAGAAGTGACACTGTGAGTTTTGAGCTGAGGTATTTCTGCTCTCTTGCTCTTGGAATCCACCACCACTACCACAAGTAAGCAAGTCTGAGCTAGTCTGCTGGATGATGGGAGGCATGTGACCAGTTGCCTCCTGTCATCCATTGCAGCTGAGAAGCAACCAATCCCCAGAAGGAGAATTGCTTAGCTTACCAGAAGCTGACTGCAGACAAAAGAAAGAGCCCAGCAGAAGAGCCACCCAGAAAAGCTCAGACCAAATTGCCAATCCACAGAGTCATCAGTGAAATAAATGGTTGATTTTTTTTTAGGTCACTAAGTTTGGAATGGTTTGTTATCCAACAAAAGCTAACAGATATACTTTGAAAAACTAGACCAACGCAATTCACAATATTAACAAAAAAGGATAAAATACTTATAACATAGCAAGATATGTGCAAAACCTATATGAACAAATATAGGATTGGAAGGATCCAAAATTAGGCTTCCCCCACCCCCCCAGAAATGGAAAGACATACCACGTTTATAGATGGAAAAATAAACTTTGTAGGGAAGTCAATTCTCCCTAAATTAATATAAATTAAAAATTATCTCAATACAGCCTGGCTCATTGGATTGAGCATTGTCCCATGGACTCAGAGGTTCGGGTTCCATTCCCAGTCAGGGCACATGCCCAGGGTTGCAGGGTTGATCCCCAGTGGGGGGCATGCAGGAGACATCAGACTGATGTTTATCTCTCTCCCCTCTCTAAAAAAATAAATAAAACATATTTTAAAAATTATCTCAATACAGATTTCATTCTGGAAGTAGAAAAACCGATTCTAATGTTAATTTGGAAAAATAAAGAAGCAAGTATATTTGAAAAAGAAACAATTGGGAGCATTCACCCTAGGATATATGAAAACCAATTTTTAATCCTCAATAAATTAAAAAAGCATGGTATTATCACATCTATATACAAACAGACCAATGCCTCGTTTTGGCGACGTGTAAGAGTGGCGACAGAGACTCTTATCTTGCCTGTCAAACAGTTTTGTAAATGGGTAAAAAAATGAGAAATGATTAAGGATGGGATCCCCTTGGCTGAAGAAGCCCAGAGTTCCAGCACCCACTCTCTCCAACCAGGAGGGCATCAGACTTCGCCACACATCACCTTCCGACCCCAGGCGCCCGAGGAAACACCTCCCTGCTCGCCCGCATTCTGATAGGCTCGCGAGACCGAGGCTAAAAAGAGAGCCGCGGCCCTATTGGTTAGCGAGCATGTTCCGCGCTGCGCTTCTTGGGAGATGTAGTCCTGGTAGCCGCTGGCTCCCGGGACTCGCGATTTAACGCCGGAGATTCCGGCCGACTGAAGTGGTAAAGGTGGGTGTGTCTGGAGGCGGGGTGCGGGAGTTGTGAGATTCTCGTGAAGAAACGGAAGGGTTCAAAATTAGAGAAGTGAGAGTTGTGGGCTCACAGGAAGGTATGGACCCTACTTCGTATTGGGGTGCACGGAGTTGAGGGTGGGGTCATGGCAAATCGCATACTAGCAACTGTCGCCTTAGCAACTGCTCGGGACACCTAGGACCCCGCCCCCTGCCTGCGCTCCAAAGAAAGAGGAGGAACCCGGGTTGTTTAAATGTGTTTTTTATTTTTTTTAGAGAGAAACATTGATGGGCTGCCTCCTGCAACCTCCCACCCCCCAATGGGGATCGAGCCTGCAACCCTGGGCATGTGTTCCGACCTCTCTGTCCATGGGAAGACGCTCAATCCACTGAGCCACACCGGTGGAGCTAGCCCGGGCTGTTTAAATGGCTTGGGGTGGGGTAGGGAAGGAGAGTGGCTCCATTTTCTCCAAGGCTCTAGTGCCCCTATCGCTGAGGTTTGGTGGGCGTGCAGCTCCGTGTTTAAGGACCTACGACTGGGTTCCCTGGCCGACGCCCCATTTCCCTGCCGATTGGTCCACAGCCCTTTCAGGGCGGGGCCGGGGGCGGGCACTTTTCGCCCGCTGTGAGGCTAGGACCTCCGGGTTTCCTAGAGAGGACTCGGAAGTGCTCTGGGGGTTGGATTTATGGCTCAACCCTGATGGACTGGGGAAAGCTTGGATTTGCTTACTTCCGGCGAACAAGTGTTGCGAAGTGTCGGCTTCGGTTTTCCATTTGTAAGAAGAAACCGACCTTCCCAGCCCTGACTGTGGGAGCTCGGTCTTCCAGTAGAGTTCCTTGAGGCTGGAGCCTTGAGGAAAGGGAATGGGCTTTGTGTCCAGGCGGGGGCCTTGCCCCTAACCTTCGCTGGGCCGGTCTCCGTGTGTACGGTGTCAGGGTCGGTTCCGAGAAATCCAGGTCCAAATCTGTACTTATTTCCCTGCTTCTTTTCGGGACCAATGAAGTCTCCCGTTGGTCTGTCAGGCCCTTGTGGCTTGAAGGACAGCACCAATTTTGACCATTGTAATGTTTTTGATCCCTGTTCTGACTTAAGTTTGACGTAATGGTAGAGAGAAGGAGCGACTACATCTGGACTAGTTAGTAAGTCTTGTACTATTATTTTTATGAAATTTAATGTTCTTCACCAGTAAAACTGTTGGTTGGGCCTGATATCAGCTTTTTATGGCTCTCGTTTACATTTTTTTAAATGTAGGAAATATTCTCTAGTAATATTTTATGGGTGGAGTGACAGCTGCCTTGCAGTTCATATTTTAAGTGAATTACCCTGTTGAGTGGTCATCTTTAGTATAAATGACCTCTTTGTCATCTCTTTGCTAATAATAATTTTCAATATATCAGTAGGTTGCACACTAATGAACGTGTCCTTCAGAAGATATTAAAGAGCAGAAAACAGATTTGACCAGTGTAAAACAGCTAAACTGGAGAGAGATCCCTCTGAGTTTGGAATGATAATGACAGAATCTAGAGAAGTTATAGACTTGGACCCTCCAGCTGAGACTTCACAAGAACAAGAAGATCTTCTAATAGTGAAGGTAGAAGAAGAAGACTGCACCTGGATGCAGGAGTACAATCCACCAGTGTTTGAGACTTTTTACCAGCGCTTCAAGCAGTTCCAGTACCATGAGGCATCAGGTCCTCGGGAGGCACTCAGCCAGCTTCGGGTGCTGTGCTGTGAGTGGCTGAGGCCGGAGTTACACACCAAGGAGCAGATCCTGGAGTTATTGGTGCTGGAGCAGTTTTTGACCATCCTTCCTGAAGAGTTCCAGACCTGGGTGAGAGAACATCATCCAGAAAATGGAGAAGAGGCTGTGGCTGTGGTAGAAAATATACAGCGAGAATTAGAGGAACGCAGACAACAGGTGAGTGGAAGAGGAGACATTAGAGCAATCAGGAAGGAAAGGGAGAAAGTTAAGGAGCTGCTGAGTAGGGGTGAGCTCCTTAACACTCTGGTGCTTAATTCATATTCTTTTGTTCTCCTGGGATTAGGTACACTGTGGAGATTGCCTGCCACTCCAGCAAAGAGAAGCAGTATCCAGTGTGTTAATCTGGAGAAGACAGTCTGCGATTTTGTTTAGTTTTAAAATTACTGTATTTATTTTTTGTGTGACATGATACAAATTAAAAAGGTACATAAGGTTGTAATGAAAAGTAAATTTTGCTGACCCCTAAGTCTCCAGATGCCTATTCTCACCAGAGGCAACCATTTATATGATACATGTATATCCTTACAGTTATACTGTATTCTGTATATATAAGCATATAGGTATATGACATGCTTAAAGAAGCACAAATGTTTTCAAATCACTGCATACTTCTGCCTCTTGCTTTTTTTCTTACAGCTTGGTTTGTTTCGTGTCAGTACAGATAGAGTGACCTCACTCTGAAACTGCATTATATTCTATTGTATGGATGTATATACCATAATTGAACTTCTGTTGAGAGCCATTTAAGTTGTTCCTTTAGATTGGTTCTGAATTTTTACTACAACCAAATTTGCTGCGTGAATATCTTTACATACATCATTAATTGTAGATTAAATGCTAGGAAGTCCAATTGTTGGCTCAGGGGCCATATGCATTTGTAATTTTGACAGGTGTTGATAGAGTGCCCTCGTTAGAGGTTATACCAGTGTATATTCCGAACACCAATGTATGAAAGAAATATTTTTTTCTACAGTCTGATAACATTATCTAACTTTTTGATTTTTGCCAGTATGAAAGAGGCAGTGTTCCAGTTCTGTACAATTTTAATGCATTTCTCTTATTATGATTTCTCTTATGAGTGAGTTTGACCACAGTACATATTTTTTAAAAAATTTTTTTTCTTTATTCATTTTATAGAGAGAGGAAAGGAGAGGGAGAGAGAGATAGAAACATCTATTGGCCGCCTCCTACATGCCCCCCACTGGGAACTTGGCCCACAACCTGGGCATGTGCCCTGACCAGGAATTGAACCAGCAACCTCTTGGTGCATGGGTCAGTGTTCAACCACTGAGCCACACTGGCCGGGCCACAGTATATATATATATTTCTTTTGTATCCTCACCTGAGGACATTTTTTGTTCAGATAGAGTAGGAGGGAGAGAGAAAGAGAAACATCGACATGAAAGGTACACATCGAGTGGCTGCCACCCGCATGACTAGGGCCAGGGACAAACTGCAACTGAGATACGTGCCCTTAGCGGGAACTGAACCCGGGTCTCTCTGGACCGCAGGCCAACGCTCTAACTGCTGAGCCAAACTGGCCAGGGCCACAGTATATATTTTAAAGGGCTATGCCTACACCCTTTTATTGCGAATTATTGGTTTATATTATTTACCTATTTGAAAAAGTGAGGACTGTGTCTGTCATTGAATTGCAAGTGTTATTTTTCTGTGTTGTTGTTTGTTTTTGGAGATTTTTGCTTTACAGGGTGTTTTAATTTTTGTGCAATCAGTTATGTTGTTTTTGGGTTTTGTGCCATTCTTAGAAAGGCCTTCTTCACTACAATATTATAAGAAACTTTTCTCATAGCTTTTTCTTCATTTTTTATTTTACTCTTTTAAGTGATCCATCTGGAATTCATTTTGGTATGGTTACAACTTTATTTTTTTACAGATATTTATCAGGTTGGCCCAGTAAGTTGTAATCCACCTTTTCCCTCTCTCATTAAATTGCCTCTTTATTACATACCGAATTTCTGCATGTATTTGGGTCCTTTGTGGTCTCTTTATTCTATTTTATTGATCTCACTGTCTGTTCATGTATTAATATTTTAATTATTTGAGCTCTATGAAGTCCTTTGGTATATGATAGGGTTACCCTTTCTTCCAAATTACATTTCAATATTTTTTTTACTTCCTTATGACCTTTAGAATTACTTATTTAGTTTTCACTACCCCAGAAATCCTGTTGGTATTTTTGTTGGGATTGCATGAAATTATATATTAATCTAGGGAGGATCAATATCTTTTACTTTTTTTTTTTTTGTTACTCCTTACTTGAAGATATTCCTCCATTGATTTTTATTGTTGGTTTTTTAAACTTTTCTTTATTGTTGAATGTATTACAGATATTCCTCCTTTTTCCCCTATTGACCCCCTCTTCCCTGCTCCCACCCCCCTCATGCCTTTCTCCACACTGTTGTCTGTGTCCATTGGTTATGCATATAAGCATATAAGTTCTTTGGTTTATTTCTTCCCACCCCCCTACCCCATCCCTCTGAGGTTTGTCAGTCTAACAACCAATTTGTACTTCTTAACCCCCTTCCCCCAATCCCTCTCCCATCTGGCAACCAACAAAATGTTCTCTCTATCTATGAGAATGTTTCTGTTCTGCTTGTTCATTTTGCTTATGGATTCAATTGTCAATAGATATGTATTTATTGCCATTCTGTATGTTCATATTTTTGATCTTGTTTTTCTTCAAGAAGACCCTTCAACATTTCATATAATACTGGTTTGGTGGTGATGAACTTTTTTAGCTTTTTCTTGTCTGGGAAACTCTTTATATGGCCATCGATTCTAAATGATAACTTTGCAGGATAGAGTAATCTTGGTTATAGGTTCTTGCTTTTCATCACTCTGAATATTTCTTGCCATTCCTTTCTGGCCTGCAAAATTGCTTTTGAAAAATCAGCTGACAGTCTTATGGGAGCTCCCTTGTAAACTAACTAACTGCTTTCTCTTCCTGCTTTTAAGATTCTCTCTTTGTCTTGAACCTTTTGCATTTTGATGATGATGTGTTGGTGTGGGCCTCTTGGGGTTCATCTTGTTTGGGACTCTCTGTGCTTCCTGGACATGTATGTCTGTTTCCTTCACCACGTTAGGGAGGTTTTCTGTCATTGTTTCAAATAGGTTTTCAATTTCTTGTTCTCTCTCGTCTCCTTCTGGCACCCCTATGATGCGAATGTTGGCATGCTTGAAGTAGTCCCGAGGCTCCTAACTCTATCCTCATTTTTTTGGATTCTTTTTTCTTTTTTGCTGTTCTGATTGGGTGTTTTTTGCTTCCTTATATTCCAAATCAGTGGTTTGCTTCTTGGCTTTACCTACTCTTGAATCTCTGTAAATTATTCTTTATTTCAATTAGTGACTCCTTCATTTCTGACTGGTCCTTATTTATGCTCTTGAGGCCCTCACTAAGTTCATACTAAGGTAATTGAGCATTCTTATAAGCAGTGTTTTGAACTCTGCATCTGTTAGATTGCTTATCTTCATTTCATTTAGTTCTTTTCCTGGAGTTTGTTCTGTTCTTTCATTTGAGACATATTTATTTCTCTCCTCATTTTGGCTGCCTCCCTATGTTTGTTTCTGTGTATTAGGTAGAGTTGCTATGTCTCCTGGGCTTCATAGGGTGGCCTATTGTAGTAGGTGTCCTGAAGAGTACAGTGGCACAGCCTCCCTGGTCTCCCATCTGGGCTCTTGAGGTGCACCCCTCGTGTGGACTTTACACTCTTCTGTTGTAACTGAGTCTTGGTTGCTGTTGGCACATCAATGAAAGGGTTTTACTCAGGCTGATCAGCTGCAAGGACTGTCTGTGCCCACTATCCACCGACCTCTGACAACTTGGAGGATCAGCTGTGCAGGGGCCCACCATACAGAGCAAGACTTATTTCAGCAAGGTTCTGGTACCCATTTAGTCCATTCCTTGAGTATGTCACTTGTGGAGGTGGTTGGGTGGTGGTGCTTTGCAGTGTTCTGAAGCTGTCCACTGGGTGTGCTGGCTCTGGGACAGGTCAGCCACTGCCTGTGTTCTACCCAGGGCCACCAGGCATAAGCTGCAGAGTGATCTGTAGATGGCTGCTTCTTGTGCTGGGCTTGAAGGTGCCCAGGCAAAGCCAAGTTGTGAACCAAGGCTGGCTGCTTCTAGTGCCAGGCCTGGGGCCACTTAATGAGAGGTATGGGGCTGCTGAAACCAGATGCTGCTTGTTTGAGAGGATTTAGGAAAATCTGAAGCAGGATCCAAGATAGGCCAATCCTATGGTAAAGCATCAGGTAGCAACTTGGGTGGGCCTGAAAGTTGGGTGGGGCAGGGCCTCAGGGAATCACCAGGGTGGGGTAACCAGTGTGAGCCAGGTTGCTGGAGTCCCAGATATGGCTGCTGTCTGCCGGCCTCATTGGGGAAGGGCTCACCAAAGGAACAAAGGTCTCTGACAGCATATCTGTCCAGCCCTTGCCCCAATGCCAAACAGCTCGTCCCCGTATGTCTCTGGTGCCTTTCGAGCTGTCTCCTTCACACTAGACCTCCGAGGTAGCAGTCTGAGTAAGTCCGTGCACAGGCCCTTTAAGAGGAGCTGCCTGGGGCTTCAGCAGCCTCAGTCTCCCTCAGCCTGAGTTCCTGCTGGTTTATACAGCCAGAAGTTATGGAGACTTCTCTTCCTAACACTGAAACTCTGAGCTGGTGGCCTGGTGTCAGAGGGGGACCCCTCACTCCTCAGGGAGGACCTTCACAGCCAAGGTATCCTGATTTTCATTCACCACAAGTGGGTGTGGGACCAGCCCGTCCACGCCTCAACACCTCCTACCAGTCTCGATGTGGCTTCTTTAATTTCCTAGTTGTAGGACTTCCATTCAGCTTGATATCAGGTGGTTTTGAATGATGATTGTTCTGTAGTTTAGTTGTAATTTTGGTGTGGTTGTGGGAGGACTTGATACTGTGTTTACCTACGCTGCCATCTGGACCAAAAGTCCCTCCATTGATTTTTAGGTAGAGTGGAAGGGAGGGAGGGGGAGAGAGAGAGAGACATTGATGTGAGAGAGACCCTGACAGGGGCTGGGTATTGAATCTGCAACCCTTCTGTTCTTGGGCCAACACTCTAATTGCTGAGCCAAACTGGCCAGGGCAGGATCGACATCTTTATGTTAACAGCTTCTTGTACTTTCTTAGTTGTTTAAAACCTGATCTTCTACCTTCCTCTTGTTACTAGGCTCACACTCTCTTAAACTTTAATTCTCTCTTTATAGCAAAGAATAAAACTTATGGGATTATTGGTCTATAAGAGTTTGAAGCTATTTAGAGAATTTCCTTTATTCTTCAGAGCCATTACACTTCATTGCAACGTACCAGTTCATTATTCTTTACCTCTGGGTAAGGGGTACTTTAGCATTTCAGAACATCCTCAGCTTCTTCAGCTTAGCGCACTCCATGAGGCAAGCGGGCAGCAGAGAGAGTTGCTGCTGACCTGTGGTGAGACCCTGCAGTTCTCTTAAATGATTGTCCTACAATTGGGAATGTTTGAACCTTTCTATTGCTTTTAGGACATCTAGTTATTACTTTTTTTTTTTAAATCTAATTTGGGACATTAATGGACAAACTTTCCTATTTTTTTTAGTAATATTCAAAAGTATAGCTTAAAACAAAAAGCATTTAAAAATTTTTTTTCTTTATTGATTTTAGAGAGAGAGATGGAGGGAGAGGGAGAGAGAGGTAGAAACATCAGTGAGAGAGAACATCGATTGGCCACCTCCTGCATGCCCCCCACTGAGGATTGGGCCCACAACCTGGGCATGTGCCCTGACTGGGAATCTATCCGGGGACCTCCTGGTGCATGGGTCGACACTCAACCACTGAGCCACACTGGCTGGGCCAAAAAGCATTTTTTAATAGAGGATTTACAGCAGATATTACACATTTACCTCTTTCAGTATGATATGCAGCCCATCTTTGGAAGGGACACAGAGAACAATCATTTCTTAGTGGTAGTCAGGATTTGAGGCCCAGAGAGGGGATTTCCCATGGGCCTCCACAGCACACTTTGACTTTCTGCCTGCCTCCTGTATCCCTGACGTTTTTTCCTCAACTTTATCTCCAGGCAGTTCTTGTCTCTGCAAACCTTTTCCCAGGCTTTATCCTTAACCTTTCTCCTTGGTTTCTCTGTCCTGATCTCAGGGAACATCACAGACTGCTTTGGTTCTCTGGTGCCCACGGTGCCCTTTGAAATACTTGGCATCATCTTAACTCTGTTCTGAGCAGGTCAGCAAGGATGCAAACTTTCAAAGAGAGTATTTGCCACAACTGTTTTGCAGCTGCCTGTTAATGTAATTCCTGTGCCACATTTTGCCAGTACTAGGAGGGTTAAAATCTAAAGTGTTTGAAACCATAAAGGAGGGAAAAGGGGGATGGTGACCCTATGTTAGTGCAGGCTCTTTTTTAAAAAATGTATTTTATATATTTATTTTTAGAGAGAGAGATATAAAAACATAGACGAGGGAGAACATCAACCGGCTGCCTCCTACATGCCCTGCACTGAGGATTGAACCCACAACCTAGGCATTTGCCCTGACCGGGAATTGAACAGGTGACCTCTTGGTGCTTGGGTCGACGCTCTACCACTGAACCACATTGGCCAGGATCAGTGCAGGATTTTATTACCTGCAAGGTTACTGCTGAGCTAGTACCTTCCAGAATAGGCAGATTCTAGAGACTGGTTGTGGCAGAGTAATTGTGTATACCCTAGGGTTGAGCAAGAGCCAAGAACAGAAGAATTGAGGACTGTGGCACACCAGATATAAACTAGCTCCAGTCTTAGTGTTGGTCTGCTGGAGAACCAAGTGTGACTTCCTGAATCCTATAATAGACCTTTCCAAATTCCTTTCTCACTTCTCTCCCTCTTCACTAAACTTGACACTGGCCTACCTAAGATTCCTTGGCTGTAGCAAATATCAGCTTTCTGCCAGAGAGCTTTGCTTATATTGTACTCTCTGCCTTCAAAACTTCTTACTTTTCCCCTGGCTGGCTCCTTTCATCCTTTAGGTGTTTACTTAAGTGACACTTTCTCAGAAAAGCCTTCGATGACCACCCAATCTAAAGTAGGTCTCATCTGATCTGTCTCATGGCATTTCTCCTTTATAACATGACATGGTTTGTGATTATGTATGTATTTGTGTGTTGAAATGTTTAATGGAGGTCTTCAGCTAGACATAAACTGTGTTTATTAAGCCACTGTATTAGTGCTTGGCTTGTTATAGACGCACATTAAATATTTATTATAGGAACAAATGAATAACGTGAATTTACTGGATTTTTAAATAGCCTTCTAGGTAATGTACTGATTGGTGTGGTTGTGGTTGTTAGATTGTGGCCTGTCCTGAAGTCCTTTCTCAGAAGATGGTGCCAACGGGAGCTATGCAGGAGTCCTTCAGTCACCAACTTCTGGCTCTGGACCCCCAGCCTGAACAAGAGCCACAGAAGCCTCATCTGGAAGAAAAGGGTGGGTATCTGACTTGGTGAAGCAGATGTGGCTAGAGCGTGGGGGCCCTGGCCATGTGGGTAGGCAGTGTTTGTAAGAGAAAGACTTTTGGTTGGGCAGCCACTCTCCAATCAGCAGAATCTGGAAGTTGGGACAGTCTGGGGACCTAGAATTGAGTCCCTGGTATTAAGAGAGTCAGCTTATAGGATGGCTAGGAACTGTACAGTTCTATTCAAAAGTAATGCAGATGATGACAACTTTATAGGTATTGTTAAAAGATCTACATGCCCTGGCCAGTTTGGCTCAGCGGTTGAGCATCGGCCTGCGGACCAGAGAGTCCCGGGTTCGGTTCCCGCTAGGGGCATGTACCACAAAAAAAAAGAGAGAGAAAGAAACAAAATATCATAATTTTTTTTCACGAGTTTCCCAACTTTTTCATAGATTTTGTCGTCTTAATGTTTATGTAAAAAAAGCTTTCTGGTTCCTAATTGCATTCAGTGCAGGCTGCTCATTCACCTTGAAGTCTTTTTTTAAAATAGTATGTTTTAATTGAATTTTGAGAGAGAGAGGAAAGGAGAGAAAGATAGAAACATCGATGTGAGAGAAACATCAATCGGCTGCCTCCTGCACACCCTTTACAGGGCATCAAGCACACAACCTGGGCATGTACCCTGATGGGGAATAGAACCAGACCTCTCAGTCCATGGGACGATGGTCAATCCAGTGAGTCACACCGGCTGGGTGACCTTGAAGTCTTATTTCAAGCAGTGCTTCACCATGACCTTTAGAGCATTTGTTCTCTCTCTTTCTCTCCTCCCACCCCTGTCTATTTTATTAACCTATATTAGATATATCAAGGAAGAAAAGTGAACAGTTTATCTTATTTCTGATGCTATATGTACACAAGCCTATAATCTCTAACCAGGAACTCTTGCTGTCAGATATAATTTAGAATTCAGAATTTTTCAGATTTAGTAAGGTAATGTGATTTATATACCATATGTTACACTACCAACAGGATTTGAGGCAGTACCCCATAATCACACACATTAATATTTCAGTAGTGACATGTATGTATATTTACAGTAACAGATTAAATAAACTTTGAATAGCTTCACATATTGGTCAGGTTTTGTTGTCAAATTAGTTCAATGCCTAACTTCATGAAAAAAACCTTTGGTGTTTAGAACTTCGGGATTTCAGAATTATGGATTAGAAATTGTGAACCTGCATTTCCTGTTTGGCCCTAGGCTTTCTTCCAGGTTCCCCTTACTGGTCAGGCGTTTCACTTGACATGTCCTATAGCTCTAATCTCTTCCAACTTTCCTTTCACTGTGGTAATAATAATAAGAGCAGCTACAGCAGCAGTTATGACTTCTGTGGTGCTTACTGTGTGTCAGGAGTTCTAAGCTTTAGTTGTAGGAATTTATTTAACCTTCAATGTACCAGAAACAACAGTCTTTACTCTTACCATCTGGGGCCAGTGGATTTTATTTTATTAAAAAAAATTTTTTTCCTGTATTGATTTGAGAGAGAGAGGAAGTCAGAGGGAGAAAGAGATAGAAACATTGATAAGAGAGAACATTGATTGGCTTCCTCCTGCATGCCCTGCACTGGGGATTGGGCCCACATCATGTGGCATGTGTCCTGACCGGGAATTGAACCGGTGACCTCTTGGTGCATGGGTCATGCTCAACCACTGACCCACACAGGCCAGACTATTTTTTTGTTTAAGTCATTTTATGCATAATATACAAAAGAATCAAAGGATAATAATAATTTTTAAAGGGATTTTAATAAGAATTAAACTTCCTTGTATTAAGTACATTTTGATAATAAATACCATTAAAAAGTGAAAGAATACTGTCACATAATACTTGTCTCTTTGACAAAATTAATACTTTCTTTTTAGCAAAATGAGATGGTCAAGAATCTTGTTGCAAAATATTGCATGATGAAGTCCTTTCCTTTGAATGACTCACTGGATGAGATGGTCATGCTCTTTTTATGAAATTAAAAATAGAGTGTTTATTATTGATTCTTGAGTTTGAGAAAATTCATCTAGGATATTATCATTTGTAGACTCATTCTAAGATTTCCCTTATACTTTCAGTTTTATCATTAGTGTTAGAGAGCACGCTGCTCTCTGTCACTCTTCATCCTCATTCATCTAATAATGGTGGAATATCTTCTGCATATTTTTTTCTCTTTGCCAATATGGGTGGAAAATGAAAAATTCTGAATTCTTAACTATGCTCAATGAAAGCTAAAAGCAGGTGTCAATAGTCTTGTACCTTCTTGAAGATGATGCCAAACTCTGCATAATGTATTTAATACTTTGGGAATAGTGAAAAATGATGATGTATTTTACTGTTGTATGATCCTTTCTTTCTCCTCTCATTTCTTATTATTTTAGTCTTCTATGCTCTCTTTGGGAATAATTAATGAATGATGACTAGTAAAAATGAATTAATTTCTCGGATGATGAAATAGAAAAATGTTAATGTTGTTTTTTTTAAAAATTTAAACCCAATTCATTTTTTTTTTTTTTTTTTTTGCTTAGACGATGTTTATTTCTTTTATTTTTTTTCTTATGTATTACAGATGTTTCTCATTTTTCCCCCATTGACCCCCCTCCTCCCCACTCCCACCCCCCTCCCACCTTTTCCCACACTGTAGTCTGTGTTCATTGGTTACGCATATAAGTTCTTTGGTTTATTCCCCCTCCCAACCCCTTTCCCTTTGAGGTTTGTCAGTCTAGCAACCAATGTGTTCTTAATCCTTTCACCTTTTTCACCCATTCCCCCGACCCCACTCCCATCTGGCAACCAACAAAATGTTCTCTGTATCTACGAGAATGTTTCTGTTCTTCCTGTTCATTGTCGATAGATATGTATTCATTGCCATTTTGTATGCTCATATATTTTATCTTTTTCTTCAAAAAGACCCTTCAACATTTCATATAATAACGGTTTGGTGTTGATGAACTCCTTTAACTTTTTCTTGTCTGAGAAAGTCTCTATATGGCCATCGATTCTAAATGACAGCTTTACAGGATAGAGTAATCTTGGTTGTAGGTTCTTGCTTTTCATCACTCTGAGTATTTCTTGCCACTCCTTTCTGACCTGCAAAGTTTCTTTTGAGAAATCAGATGTCAGTCTTATGGGAACTCCCTGTAGGTAACTAACTGCTTTTCTCTTGCTGCTTTTAAGATTCTCTCTTTATCTTGAACCTTTTGCATTTTGATGATGATGTGTCTTGGTGTGGGCCTCTTGGGGTTCATCTTGTTTGGGACTCTCTATGCTTCCTGGACGTGTATGTCTGTTTCCTTCACCAAGTTAGGGAATTTTTCTGCCATTATTATTTCAAATAGGTTTTCAATTTCTTGTTCTCTATTTTCTCTTTCTGGCACCCCTATGATGCGAATGTTGGCACGTTTGAAGTTGTCCCAGAGGCTCTTTACACTATCCTCATTTTTTTGGATTCTTTTTTCTTTTTGCTGTTCTGATTGGGTGTTTTTTGCTTCCTCATATTCCAAATCAATGGTTTGCTTCTTGGCTTTACCTACTCTATTATTGAATCTTTGTAAATTATTCTTTATTTCAGTTAGTGCCTCTTTCATTTCTGACTGCGCATCCTTCATTTCTGACTGGTCCTTTTTAATGCTCTTTAGGCCCTCACTAAGTTCACTGAGCATCCTTATAAGCAGTATTTTGAACTCAGCATCTGTTAGGTTGCTTATCTCCATTTTGCTTAGTTCTTTTCCTGGAGATTTTTTCTGTTCTTTCATTTGGGACCTGTTTCTTTGTCTCCTCATTTTGCCTGCCTCCCTGTGTTTGTTTCTATGTATTACTTAATGAGAGGTATGGGGCTAGCTGAGACCAGATGCTGCTTGTTTGAAAGAATTTAGGAAAACCTGAAGCAGGATCCAAGACAGGCCAATCCTATGGTTAACCACCTGGCAACAGCTTGGGTGGGCCTGAAAGTTGGGTGGGGTGGGGCCTCAGGGAATCACCAGGGTGGGGCAACCAGTATGAGCCAGGTTGCTAGAGTCCTAGATTTGGTGGCTGTCTGCCATCCCAGGGAAGGGCTCACCAAAGGAACAAAGGCCTCTGACAGCATGTCTGTCCTGGAGAAAGCCCCCTCTCCAGCCCTCACTCCAGTGCCAAACAGCTCAGTTCTTCCCTGTATGTCTCTGGTGCCTCTCGAGCTGCCTCTCCAAGCTTAGAGGGAGAGAGTCTGAGTAAGTCCATGCGCGGGCCCTGTAAGAGGAGCTGCCTGGGGCTCCAGCCACCTCAGCCTCCCTGAGCCTCAGTTCCCACTGGTTTTTCCAGCCAGAAGTTATGGGGATTCTCTTCCTGGCACTGAAACCCTGAGCTGGGCACCTAGTGTGGGAGGGGGACCCCTCAGTCCTCAGGGAGGACCTTCTCAGCCAAGGTGTCCTCCTGATTTTTATCCACCACACGTGGGTGTGGGACCAGCCCATCCGCCTCCACCCCTCCTACCAGTCTCGATGTGGCTGCTTCTTTAATTTCGTACTTGTAGGACTTTCATTCAGCTTGATTTCAGGCGGTTTTGAATGATGTTTGTTCTGTAGTTTAGTTGTATCTTTGATGTGGTTGACGCGATACGGCGTTTACCTATGCCTCCATCTTGACCAGAACTCCGAAAAATATTTCATGATATAGAAAAATAAGATCACTCAGACCCCATTTTGTATTTGAAATTTAAAGTGTCGAATGTGGATCCATATAGAAATTATAAGATAGAATGAATTTTATTATATTTTTAAATAATACTAAAATTAATTTTTTTGTTGTTCTTCAGAAGGCCTCTAAAGGAATAAAAGTCATATAATTTCAGTCTTTAAAAATAGCTAAAAGTGTTCAAAACAGAAACCCAAAATTTTGTCTAATAGACCTAGTTAGTATACCAAGAGTTAATGCTCACCCTAACCCAGTGGAATGAGTAGGTATTGCTGTTATCCTCATGTTAGAAATTAAGAAGCTAAGGCCTGTAACATGGTTAAGTAATTTGTTCAAGGTCACGAAGCTATTAGGTGACAAAGTTGGAATTTTAACCCTCTAAATCTACACTTTTATCCCATTCTGAGCTGTCCTACCCTTGATTTACCACCAGGCCCTCTCAAGTGCAGAATCCTGTCCCTAAATTATGTCATCTTCCCTCTACTTGCAGAGACTCATTAGATCAGGTTACTCTTTTCTTCTGTTCCTAGGTGCTGCTTCTCTTCTCTGTCCTGTTTGCCGGACCCTAGCCAGTTTCTTCATTCCAACAAAATTACTGTGTTGTGGTTTTTTTTTTTTAATATACTGGAGGATGCTGCCTCATGCCTTTGATAGCAGTTTGATAGCTAGAATTGTTTTATCTGCCTATTCTTGTAACACACAGAGTAGGCTTAATAATATATACTAACTGGTTGACTATTAACCAACCATAGTTTCTTGGGAACTTCAAAAAATAAGTGGAATTATTTAGAATGTAATTATTATAATAATTCCAATTATAATTGGAATATAATCTATATTCAAAATTACTGTTCAAATATAGACTATATTCACCCCTTTTTTCAAGTCCTCTTTTTTTCTTTTTCTTTATTGATTTTAGAGAGAGAGAAACATCAATGAAAGAGAACATTGATTGGCTGCCTCCTGCATGCCCCCCACTGGGGATTTGGCCCACAGCTTGGGCATGTGCCCTGACTAGGAATCGAACCAGCGACCTCTTGGTGCATGGGTCAACGCTCAACTACTGAGCCACACCAGCTGGCTCTTTAGGTCCTCTTTTGACTCTTTAGCCACACTCCTTGTTTTAGACTCTGTTTTTGTCTTTCATCTGTAACCATTATCTCCTTTTTGCGTCATTGCTCATTACTTCCTAGTCTTTGGACAGAAGCAAGCTACATATACATATATGCCTCCAGGACTGAGGAAACCATAGCAAGGTCTAAACTGTCAGGTTATTTGTTCAAGTTGGGTCCCACAGAGACAGTGAGATCTGGATGCACCATGAATCTTGACAAAAAAACAAGCAGAGGTGACAGCAGAGTCAGATAGTCACCAGCATCTAGAGATCAGACCCTCCAAGCATTGCACATGTTATTCACTCTACTTGCAAAGTACCCTTCCCCTTGCCTCACCCCATCCCTTTCCTGTGAAAGTCTTTTCTGATGCTCCCACCTTCCTCTCTCCACTCTGTAGGTGCCCCTGCTTCTGTGTTCCTACAAGGTGAACTTTAAGTAAAATATTCATAGTTTATCTTATTCTGGAAGTAAGTAAGGCTAACATGTCTGTCCTCCCCGTTAGTGAAATTTTGGAAGGCAAGAATTGTTTTATCTGCCTATTCTTATAATACACAGTGTAGGCTTAATAATATATACGAACTGGTTGACTATAAACCAACCACAGTAATTCCCTGAAGGGAGAGCATGTGGACTAAGGCCTTGCTAATCAAAATGTGGTCCAAGGAGCAGCAGCACCAACATCACTTGGTAGCTTGTTAGAAATGTAAAATGTGGGGGCTACCCCAGATCTACTAAGCTAGAATCTGCTCTATGCCAAGAAACCCAGGTGATTTGTTTGCACATTAAAACTTGAGAAGCCCTGGGCTCTAGGCAGTGCTTCAGATCCATGGAAGCTGTGAGACTTTGGTTATTCTTTGAGATGGTTAGGTTTGGTCTTGGTAGAGCAGAACTCATCCTTATAGGGGAATGGCACAATCTGAGGTCGGCAGCAGGGATTAGACTCCCCAAAGCAAGGAGTCTAGTATTTTGGGTGGAAGGGTGAATATAGGGTAAGTGTGGGAGGGGCTAGAATGTCGAGGGTCTTGAGAGCCAAGCGGAAGAATTTGATTTTGATGTGGCAGGGCACCACTGTAGATTCTTGACCAAAAGTGGAATATGGTGGCAATCAGAGCTGGGCAAAGATATTTTCACTGACACCTCTTTTTCTCCACCCTCAGCCCTTCCTGCTCTCCAAGTTTCTTCCCTTCCCCTGAAGGACAGCCAGGAGCTGACAACCTCACTTCTCTCAACTGGGTCCCAGGTGAGCTGGCGTCCCTGTGCCTGCAATGAGGACCCATGTCTATTATCAGAGAAGTAGCTGCCTTAATCCTGAGTCTTTATCAGGAGTTCTGTCTCTTTAACTAGAGACCAGGTCCACCTTGGGTGTGTACTTTAATGTCTTTTTCTGTTCTACCCAGTACTCCCCGATCCTCTTTGAAGCAAAGTCCCTCCTATTTCTTTCCTTAATGCTTGCAGTTCTTTCCCTCACTCCAAGTTTGAACACAGGGAATGGGAATTTAGTGGAGATCTCATGTTTCAGACATTGGTGAAAATTGAAGATGTGGCTGATGTGGCTGTTTCCTTCATCCTGGAGGAATGGGGACATTTGGACCAGTCCCAGAAGTCTCTCTATAGGGATGACAGGAAGGAGAATTATGAGAGTATTACCTCCATGGGTAAGACTTATTTTGTCTGCATTGATCAGGACATCTTAATTTTGTTAACTTACAAAGAATATTTCTAGTACATCTTATAAAAGCATGTATGTTTTAAGTGGTATGATGTAGCTTATTTTTTTCTGTGAAAGAATAAATTAACTCCCTCCCCCCTTATTCAATTTATTCTGATTATTTCCATCATAATAAGGGTATGACCGAAAACTGATAATGCTTGGGGGATAGTATTTGCAAATACTGTCTTTTACTACTTTAAAATGAAAAGGCTTGAAACTTAACAGGTTTTGATTTTAACAAATTTATAGTAGTTATTGTATTCTATTACTTGACAGATTGAATAATTCTTAACAATAATTCTCATTTGTGAAAGCATCTCACTTTGCTGAAAAACTTTATTATAGTAGTTATTATAATGTATCAGTGGCATTCATTCTTTTCCAATTCATGGATGGCTAGTCGTTCACTCTGTTACCATTCTCAAATCACTGTTACCTGTTTTATGATGTTTGCCTTGTTGGCATGTACATTTATATACCATTCTCCAAGCACTTTTAAATTCTGATTATTTTCTTCTCATTATCCATCTCTTTATTACATAATTTTTACAACTTCAGTATACTGTTCTCCATTAAGAACATGTTTAGTGGTTTCTGCCTCCTTAACTTTTCTGGGATAGCCATATTAGATTATTTTCATGCCAGTAGGTTCCTGACAGCATCAAAAAAGGTCAAGATTAAAAAAAAAAATTCATCATATTTAGAAACGAGATTTTAAGAAATAAGTAAATGATTCTTGGAAACAGCTGTTTCCATGGAATGGCTGGGATGTTTGGGAACAAGAGACAGTTTCATTGAAGATTGCAAAGGAGAGGAAATTTGAGAAAGTTCTTGTAGCTAAACTTTCAAGAACTTTATAAAGGGGAAGAGAAAGAGAACTGGTCACCGAATGAATACATAGATTTAGATGGATGGATTATTTTAGCATGTTTATTTTTCTTAAGGAGAAAGGTTTTTTGTTCTTGTTTTTGTTTGTTTGTTTTTTTGTTAATCCTCACCCGAGGATATTTTTCCGTTGATTTTTAGATAGAGTGGGAGGGAGGGAGAGAAAGAAAGAGAAACATTGATGTAAGAGAGACATATTGATTAGGTCCTGCATGACCCCGACTGAGAATCAAACCTGCAACCCAAGTATGTGCCCTTGACTGGGAATTGAACCCACGACCCTTCAGTCTACAGGCCGATGCTCTAACTGCTGAGCCAAACTAGCCAGGACTATCAGAGAAGTTTTAATCCTACTCAATACTACTGGAAAAGAATTAGTAGAGTGAGTTTGAAATGTTGGGGCAATGAAGAGCATATAGTTGATGTAGGGAGGTCCCTGGAAAATAGGATGCATGGTGAGATCCAGGTTACAGAAGGAAGATTGACTTTGGCTAGGGAGACAGACATCTCTTCCATTGTGAGATGAGGAGAGGATGAAAGAATAAGGCTGCCAACAAGTTTTTCAGTTGTGGTTGTAGGCTATTCAAGGAGTTCTTGACTGGATAGCTTTGACCTTCTTGAAATAGGAGACAAAGTCACCTGCTGAGAGTGAGCAGGTGATCGAGTAGGTGGTGGAGTAGAGGTGTGAGTGCAGTGGAGAATTTTGGTTTTAAAAAGGTCATGCATGCACATAGTAAAAAATATTCAAATAGTGTATAAATGGGTACAAAATGAAAATTGAGTCACCTACCCCTGATCCTCAGTTTCCTTGTCCTTCACAGAGGTGGTGACTATTATCATTTTCTTGATTGTATCTCCAAACATATTCTGTGTATATACAAGTTTGTGCAAATGATAGCATGTCATATACTATTCTATTTTGAAATACATTGATATATCTTGGAGTTCATAATGGAAGTATTTTAATGTAGCTGCTGAGAAAAATGAGTTGGAAATGAACAAACCTTAGAAACATAGAGTTCTAGACAGGGCACCAGTGAGGGTGAAGAGCATGAATTTATAAAGCACCAAATCTGCCTAATTGGGTATTTTTGTACCCCCCCCCCCCCACACACACACACACTGTGTAACTCAGCAGCTGGGCATAACATTGAGCTGTGAGTTCAACTGAGCTATTGAGTTTCCTGAAAAAATATACAAATAAACCAGGAGAATCAACAGAAAGCTTGTCATGTACATGGAGGAGAAGCAGGGAAAGAAGATAAAAGCAAATCTGTAAGCCTACTGATATAACAACCTGTATAATCTTCTTCTCTGGAAAAGGGCACCAATGAGGTGCATTGGGCTCATGATTTTTTTTTTTTTTTATGAATTTTTATTTATTTTTTTGTTACAGATATTTTACCTTTTACCCCATTGGCACCCCCCCCCCCCCCGCCACCTCCGCCCCGTCCCCGGCTTAGTTGTCCATGTCCATTGGTCATGCATACATGCATATAAGTTCTGTGGTTTATCTCTTCCCACCCCCCCACCCTCCCATCCCCTCTTCTGAGGGATGTCAGTCTGTGCCCTACTTCCGTGTGTCTGGGTCTACTGTATTCCTCAGACTGTTATGTTCATTATATTCCTTATATAAGTGAGATCATGTGGTATTTGTCTTTTCATGATTTTTTTTCAAGTTTTTTTTTTTCTTTATTGATTTTAGAGAGAGAGGAAGTGAGAAGGAGAGAGAGATAGAAACATCAATGAGAGAGATCATCAGTTGGCCGCCTCCTGCATGCTCCCCACTGACGATTTGGTCCACAACCTGGGCATGTGTCCTGACTGGGAATCAAACTAGCGACCTCTTGGTGCATGGGTCGATGCTCAACCACTGAGCCACACCAGCTGGACTGTTTCTGTTGATTTTTTTAGAGAGAGAGAAACATTGATGTGAAAGAGATACATCGATTGACTGCCTCCTGTATGCCCCCTACAGAGAATCGAACCTGCAACCCAGCATGTGCCCTGATTGGGAATTGAACTGGGACCTCCCAGTCCATGGGACTATGCCTAATTGACTGAGCTGTATTGGCCGGGTGGGCTAATGATATTTTTCAAATTCACCTCCCAAAAAACAAAGCCATGAGCTTGTTTGATTTGTTGAATGGGAGAGAGTTCTAATAATAAATGTGTGAGCATAAGTAGTTGTGAATCAAAGAAAAAAATATTTTGATGGCTGGGATTACTTGCCTAGTTAAATGGGGGAGGAAAAAACATGTAAAAAGTCTAGTTTTGTGATAGAATTTTTTGTATTTGTTTGTTTCTACTATTAAAATATCTTTTTAGGAAGAGAACTCACTATATCAAAAAAGGATAGTAATAGTATCTACCTCGAAGGGTTGTAAGGATTAAATGCCATAAAATTGTAAAGTGCTTAAAGGCATAGCGCCTGCTCTGTAGTATGCACTCAGCAAATGTTAGCTCTTATTATATTATTATGTCACATTTGAAAACAAAAAAATTTATTATAAAGTTCTCAATAGGCCATGATCTCTCTCTCTCTCTAGCATTTAAAAAATAATTTTCCCTATTTTTGTTCAGTACTGAAGATTTGTCTTTTCAAATCATATTAAATGTCTGTTTTGAGTGAAGTATATGTTGCTAATTCAGTTACATAGGGAACTGATTGCAGTCTCTTAAACATCTATATTCATCAATGACTATTGAGTGTTAATCTAGCTCCTTTTTTCCTGACAGTAATAGGTCTTCTCTAGGTATAGAAAGAATGCCTTTTTTCCCCTTTAGACTAATTCATTCCACACTCAGATTCTTTGGGGATTGAAAGAGTTAGAAATATCCTCTTTCTTCTCCAAGCTATGACTAAACAGGAAGAGGAAGCTTAAGACTGGCTTAGCTGCATAGCTCAATATCAGATTTGATTAAAAATAGTTCATATTGTTCAGGTATTCATAATCAGATACTCTGTGTAAGTAACATACCAAGGGGATTACATCTTCATTAAATAGAATGATTACTCTCCCAGTCTCATCTGTTTGAACCATTCTTGCTAGTTCTTTCTTCTTTAACCTTAGTTTCCTGCTAAAATATTCTTTAACCCAACATAATCACATAGCTTTGTTAAAATGACTTTTACAAAGTCATGCTCATGTTAGTTTCATATAATTATTCTATATCCCTTAGTCAATTTCTTTCTTCTAATGCAGAAAATAGCTAAATTTTCCATTTTTCTTCTGTTATTTCAGATTGCAAGTCCAAGAATGACAATATGGAACTCATAGTAAAGCAGATTTCTGATGAAGCCAAATCACACTGGATGACATCAGGAAACACTGAAAGAAATGTTCCCCAAAGCCAAGAGTTTGGAGAAGTCAATGACCTTCACGGCATGGCAGAAAGGTGGCAGGTAAACCCCAGTGTGGAGAAGTCAAGGCAGAAACCTTCCCAGAAAAGAGATCTTGGTGCCGTCACAGACATTAACCATAAGCAAAACACAAATGCTGAGAGAGGTCACAAATGTAATGATTGTGGTAAATTTTTCCTTCAAGCCTCAAACTTCATTCAGCATCGGCGAATCCACACTGGAGAAAAACCATTTAAGTGTGGTGAATGTGGGAAAAGCTATAACCAGCGTGTGCACCTTACTCAGCATCAGCGAGTCCACACTGGTGAGAAACCCTATAAATGTCAAGTGTGTGGAAAAGCCTTTCGTGTGAGCTCCCACCTTGTCCAGCATCACAGTGTGCACAGTGGAGAGAAACCCTATGGATGTACCGAATGTGGGAAAAACTTTGGTCGGCACTCCCATCTGATTGAGCACCTGAAGCGTCACTTCAGAGAGAAATCCCAAAGATGTATGTGTGAAGAGTTTGTATCGGAGAATAAATGGAGACAAAAAATTTTATCTTAGAACAGATGGGTTGTAACAATGGGAGTGGTAGGAAGGGGCAAAGATTACAGTCTATTTTATTATTATTTATACTTCAGTTGTCAAATTAGGCAAAACCCTATGCCCTTGCCCCTATCCCCACAATTTTCCTTTCCCGAGAAGTATTTGCTTTGAGCTCTGTTTTCTTCTGGTAATTCTATATTTTAAATAATTCTTCTTTTGCTTTACTCATCAATTTTAGACATTATCTATTGACTTTCTATTGTAGTAAATAAGGAATTGGCTTCTCTTGCTTATTCCCCTTTTCCAACTTTTTCACTTATTTTATTTTAAAATGATAGACAGGAAGTTTGGAGGAAAGAAATTGGGAGGGAAAAATCACACATAATCCTACCATCCTAACTAATATAACTATTACAATGTAGTATATTTTCTTCTATCCTTTTTCATAAGTCTATTTTTTTTTAACCCTCATCTGAGGTCATTTTTCCATTTGTCTTCAGATAGAGTGGGAGGGGAAGAGAGAGAGAGAAACATCCATATGAGAGAGACACATCGATTGGTTGCCTCCCACATAACTCCAGCCAGGGCTGGGGGGCCAGACTGCAACCAATGTATGTGCCCTTGACTGGAATCGAACCCCTGACACTCTGGTCTGCGGGCCAACACTCTAACTGCTGAGCCAAACCGGCCAGGGCCATAAACCTGTTTTTATACGGTTGTACTGTAGGGCACAATTAAACATATGCATTTTTAAATGTTGCTTGGCCCTCCTGTTTGTTATTTTTGATACACTGCCATTGTGTAGAGACATCATAATTTACTCAGCTATTCCCCAGTTGAACTTCTAAAATTTTCACTTTTGTCCTGATAACTGCTTATGCCTTTTTCTGTATTGAGGATTATTTTCTCATAATACATGCTCAGAAGTGGGAACAGTAGATGAAAGGCCAAAAACATCTTCATGGCTCTTGATATATATTGCTAAATTGCTTTTTATTTTTCTTTTCTTTTATTTAATTAATCAGTTAATTATTTTAGAGAGAAAGGGAGGAGGAGAGAGAGAAACATCGATGTGAGAGAGAAACATTGATTGGTCACCTCCCATACTGCCTCTGACCAGGGAGATTGAACCTGTTACTTGGGTGTGTGCCCTGACTGGGAATTGAACCATGACCCTTCAGTGCACAGGATGATGCTCCAACCAACTGAGCCACACTGGCCAGGGCTAAATTGCTTTTTTTAAAAAAATTATACCACATAAAAGAGTATCATTTGTATTAAATTTCTTCCAGGGTTATCAAAAACTTTTTTTAACAAATTGAATAAGCAGAAGATAATACATTGCTGTTTTTTTTTTAAATCCTCACCTGAAGATATTTTTCCATTAATTTTTAGAGAGAGTGGAAGGAAGGGAGGGGGGTAGAGAGAGAGAGCAACATCGATGTGAGAGAAACACATCAATTGGTTGTCTCCCGCAGGATCCTGACTGGGGCCGGAGATGGATCCTGCAAGTCAGGTTTGTGCCCTTGATTGGGAATTGGGAATCAAACCTGGGACTCTGGTCTGCAGAGTGCTCTAACCGCTGAGCAAAACAAGCCAGGGCTCTTTGCTGTTTTTATTTTCATTAATTTGGTTATGAATATTGTTGAGTGAGTGTTATTTGTTTACTTATCATCTTATCTACTTAATGAATTATATAAGGATGAGATTATCATAAACTGTGCTGTGAACTTAAAGGCTCTTATTAACATTCTTCAGAAAACTCTAAGACTGGCTAAAGTGTTTATTTTTAAATTATGCCTTTGATGTCCCCAAGTCCAGCTACTTGTCATTCACATTAACAGCCACTGCCACCTCTTCTGTCATGGAGTAGAAGTTTATGTAGTTCATTGTGTCTTGTTATTTATTTTTATATTTTATTTTCACCCAAGGGTGTTTTTCAATGATTCCAGAGAAAGGGAGGGAGAGAAAGAAACATCAATGAGTTGCCTCCTGTATGTGCCCCAACCAGGGATCAAACCCGCAACCTGAGTATGTACCCAGACTGGGAATTGAACCTGTGACCCTTCCGTGCACAGGATGATGCTCCCACCAACTAAACCACACTGGCCAGGGCAATTCATAGTCTTGAAAGTTCTGGGTTGGGCTCAGCCAGTTCTACCCCATTCTACTTAGTGACTGCCTTATTGGGGAAATCCATCCAATAGGACTCTGGTCTTGGAAAGCATTTGCTTTAAAAGTGTCTTTCATGTCTTTCCTGCATTCTTGTGACTAGTTTTCTAGTTAATACTCACCTACCTCCTCCATTTTTTTTTTTAATCAAAGGAGGGATACTTTATATGCTCATCTAGCCATATTTATTGAGAGCTTCTAGTGCTTGGGATACAGCAGTAAACCAAATGGATGTAGTTCATGCCCTCATGGAGCTGATGGGAGTAGCAGACATTAAAGGTGATGAGCATTTCCAAAGGACATGTATCAGGTGCTGTGGGAAGGAATCTGAGGCTAGAGTGTAGGCTAAGGATGAAGAGAGCAGAGATTGATATATTACCTACCCTCTTGACAATACATTATACTGGCTCATTTCTCCTTTTTCTTGGCTCCTAATCAGGTATTCTTCCAACACCATATCCCCTTTATAATTCTTTACTTTTCATTCTTCCTGTTTTTGTCAGTTCTCACCATCTAATTGTGTGTTTTTGTTCTCTCTCATTCTGTCTGCCTACCCCATTTTGGAGTCCCTACCCCTTCCACATTTTCTATCTCTTCTCCCATTTCAGAATTCCTATCTCTTCTTACCATATAATAAAAGCGTTTTGCTGATTCTTGTGAATGCCTAATTTCAGTTATTCCAATCACCCTTCTCAGTAAGCCTCTTGTTTGTCTTGTTTTCACTGGACAAATACCGGTGTTCTTTTTATTCCTGTTGACATCAAGTACATACATGCATTCCCTTTGTTACTCCTGTTACATCATACTTTCATTTGATTATCCTGTTTTTCCTGACAGCTTTTTTTTTCCTATAAAAGAAGTGATGACATTTGCATCTCCTCTTTATTTTTTCAGGCAGTGACAAAAGAAGTAAGAATACAAAATTGAATGTTAAGAAGAAGATTTCAGAATTTTCAGAAGCAGACTTGGAACTATCTGGAAGAATGCAAAAAAATGTTTCTCAAGTTCAAGATTTTGGAGAAGGCAAGTTGGATAGAAAGCAGGGAATTCCCATGAAAGAGATAATAGGACAACCCTCTTCCAAGAGGACAAATTTCAATGAAGTCACGTACGTCCACAAAAAATCCTCCACAGGAGAGAGACCACATAAATGTAATGAATGTGGAAAAAGCTTTATTCAGAGCGCTCATCTTATTCAACATCAGCGAATACACACTGGGGAGAAACCATTTAGGTGTGATGAGTGTGGCAAAAGCTATAATCAACGTGTGCACCTAACTCAACATCAGCGAGTCCACACTGGTGAAAAACCCTATACCTGTCATTTATGTGGGAAAGCATTTAGAGTGAGGTCTCATCTTGTTCAGCATCAGAGTGTGCACAGTGGGGAGAGACCCTTTAAGTGTAATGAGTGTGGGAAAGGCTTTGGGAGGCGTTCACACCTTGCTGGGCATCTGAGACTTCACTCTAGAGAGAAATCCCATCAGTGTCATGAATGTGGAGAAATCTTTTTTCAGTATGTTAGCCTCGTTGAACATCAAGTGCTCCACATGGGTCAGAAAAATGAAAAAAATGGCATTTCTGAGGAAGCATATAGTTGGAATTTAACAGTGATTGAAGATAAGAAGATTGAGTTACAAGAGCAGCCTTATAAGTGTGATATATGTGGCAAAGCCTTTAGTTATAGTTCTGACCTTATTCAGCATTACAGAACTCATACTGCGGAGAAAACCTGTAAATGTGATATATGTAGAGAAAATGTTGGTCAGTGTTCCCACATAAAACAATGTCAAAAAACCTATTCCAACATGAAATCCCATCAATGTAATGAATGTGGCAGAGGTTTTACTCTGAAGTCACATCTTAATCAACATCAGAGAATCCATACTGGTGAGAAACCCTTTCAATGTAAGGAATGTGGAATGAATTTCAGCTGGAGTTGTAGCCTCTTCAAACATCTGAGAAGTCATGAGAGGACAGAGTCCATAAATACCTTAAATGTATAAATGTTTCTGTCATAGCACAGTTCTTAATTTAGAGAAGCCTTCCTGAAGAGAAACGCTACTCCTATAATGAATGTAGGAATAACTTCAAACAATTTCTCCAGCTTAACAAACCTACAGATATGTTGAAGTTCAGTTAGAATTCAGGAACACTGGAAAACAATAGATAATCTATTTGCTTTTCTCAAGGAGAAATGCTTTCATTAGCATCTTCATGCTTGAGAATGTAGACAAAGGAGAACCCATGGATGTGGTAGGTGAAGGAAAGCCTTCAGATGGCATTTATTCTTCATTTGAATCTCAGAACATTGACGTTGGGAAAAGCCTCGTGAATACAGTAGACATTAGTTTTATTTGTAGTTTCTGCCTTGTTTGACAGCTTATCTATTCAGGGAAGAGCACAGGTAGAGAGAGAGAACTCTTCAGCATGATACTCATTTTGGTACCTCCAGTGAACCTTCCCTAGAAATGATTATCCTAGCCAATAGGAGGCACCAGTCATTGTTCCCATCATAAGTATTAAACCTTTTGAAAAAAAATTGACTTGTTTATATTTTGGCAGAATTGGGGTTCAGAAGCTGAATGGGGTATGTACCATCTTATTCAATCTACAACTTCCCCATGAAATACTCTACTTTTTTGTTTTGTTTTGATTTGATTCTGCTAGCATCTGGTTAGCTGTTAGAGGAGTTAAGTTTGTCAATTCAGGAGAAACTGTGTTGGCTAGTCATATCTTGAGAAGTGGGGAGTGGAACCTTACGGGAATAAAGAAGAGAAGACAGCCCTGGCCGGTTTGGTTCAGCGGTTAGAGCGTTGGCTTATGGACTGGAGAGTCCTGGGTTCGGTTCTCGCTAAGGGTGCGTACCTCGGTTGTAGTTTGTCCCTGTCCCTGATTGGGGTCATGTGGGTGGCAGCCAGTCGATGTGTCTCTTTCACATCGATGTTTTTCTCTCTATCTTCCTCCCTCTCTCCCTCCTGCTGTATCTGAAGATAAATGCAAAATGTCCTTGGGTGAGGATTAAAAAAAAGAAAAGACAGTCCAAACGGTGGAATCTTTTTTCTTTCTTCTATTACCAAAAATGAGGGCAGCTACACCCATAGAAGGAATTGGACCAACTTTGAATTAAGAAGCATGTTCCAAGTAATAGGTGTAATTCTCAGCTTCTCTGGAGATAGATCTCCCCCATAGATAATGGCGTGTAGAAAGAGTTTCAGTTTGCATCGCAGCTGGATTTGAAAGTGAACAGTAATTAGGTACAGGGAGGTCATGGTCTGGGTAGCAGTTGTAGAGGAAAGATAACATGGAAGTAAGGGTTGCCCTGGCCGGTTTGGCGCAGCAGTTAGAACATCAGCCTGCGAGCCGGAGAGGCCCGGGTTTGGTTCCTGCTAAGGGCACGTGCCTCGGTTGCAGTTTGTCCCCAGCCCTGGTTGGGGTCGTGTGGGTGGCAACTAGTCGATGTGTCTCTCTCACATTGATGTTTCTCTCTCTTCTGCCTCTGTATCTGAAGATAAATGCAAAAAATGTCCTCAGGTGAGGATTAAAAAATAATAATAATAATTTAAAAAAAGGGTTAACCTGAGCCTGTTTGCTAGAGAAAGGGAAAGAGCTTTGGGGCGCTGCTGAAGTCTTGCTTCTGCCGACTGCCTAGCGTACAATAAACACCAAATAAAACTTGATTGTTTGTGTTGTACACTGGTGTCCTATGCAGATTTTCTTGGCCAAGCAGGCACACCCGTCCTCCAAGCTGTTCAGAGTTTTGGCTGCTAAGTGCTCACAGCCTTTCCTTTCTCCAGAGACTGGAGGATTGTCCTCAGATGGTGGGGGCTGCCATATCCAGGAGTTAATCTGCCCTTCCCACTCTAGCCCGTGACTGACTGATATGGGGATATAAAATGTTGATTCACTTGCCAAAAGCACGGGAAAACTGTAGTGTAGTGTAGTTTATGCTTCCCAACCATTCTTTGTGGATCAGGCTGTGGCTAGACCTTGAGACTATCCATACTTGGCTCTTGCTCTCTTGATCCTGTTTCATTCCCTCCTGTAAAGATTTTTCCTGAAGAACATACCCTCAGCCAATCATGTGGCTCTGAATCTCCATCTCAGGCTCTGCTTTAGGGAACCTGATTTAAGACATGTGGTGCTGTGAGCTGTCCTGGGCTGACTGTAAGAATAAATTGTGGAGTTGGCCATTGACCATGAGGCAATGAGGACCCCCCTCACTGATAGTGGGTGAAGCATTGATAGTCCCTGGCCTGTGGTGGGTGTCCAATTATGAGATATTCACTGTGGTGAACTGGGATGGTAAACGGGGAAAAGTATGTACCGATTTGGGTAAGGCTTGGCAAAATAATAATAATACAAGGATTATGGAATTCTTGCTGAAAGTCACTGCTTGAAGATGACACATAACCACTAACTTCATGCAAAGTATGTCAAAGTCATTCCCAGGACTCTTGTCTCCTGCCAATAGAATTACAGAGCTAAAGGTCCTGTATAAGACTTGAGAATGACAACTTCAACAAAGCCTAGTGTTAATGTTTATTAAGCATTTATCATGTTCTAAACATGCTAAGTGCTTTATGTGGATCGTCCCAATCTTCACAACATTATGAAGTGATTTCACTTATTAGCACTTATTTTATAGTTGGGAAAAACAGGTTTAAAATAGTTTATTCACTTGCCCAAAGTCAGACAGCCCTCTGTGGCAGAACTAGCATTTGAACCCAGATCACTTTACCTCCAAAAGCTAAGCTCTTAAGCACTAAACTATACTCTGTCTTATAAACATCAAACATTATTACAAAGCAGTGAAACTGTTCTTGTCACCTGTGTGAAAACCAGTTTTGATCCAAGAAATGATAACATCATACAATTATAGAATCTTAGAATTGTAATGGGTATCATGGGAGCATCAAACCCAACCTCCCACCCAGTGGAAGAATCCCCATTCAATTTGTAGGCTTGTGCATGTAACAAGTACTTAATAACTGTTGAACTGGAGAGAGCATTTCCTGGCAACTGACTATCCAGTTTCTGCATGAAACCCTTTCAACGATGGGGAGTATATTGCCTGTTCCATTTTATAACAGCTCTGATTTCCAGAAACTTGTTTCTGAGGTCAAAACTATGTTGATCTGTAGTCTAACATCTTTCCTTGCTGCTAGTTGCAGAAAAAAAGTTAAGACAGTTTTAACATTTGAAAAATATTTTGCTTCCATGTGGTCACCACATTTATCACAGCTTTCCCTTCCAAACCTCTAAAAGGAAGGAGAAAAACATTAGGGTCACATATTTTGTTTGCTCAAGTTTGGGCAAGTTATAGCAGAATTTGTTCAAGATGTATTTCCTTATCCTTTTTAACATGAAAATGTTGGAAAGGACTGAAGGCAAAAAGAAACTGAACGGCCCTGGCCGGTTTGGCTCAGCAGTTAGCGCATCAGCCCGTGGACCAAAGGGTTTAGGGCTTGATTCCTGGTCTAGGGCACATACCTGGGTTGCAGATTCAGCCCCGACCGGGGTCTTGTTGGAGGCAACCAATCAATGTGTCTCTCTCACATCAGTGTTTCTCCCTCTCTCTATTGCTTCCTTCCTCCCTTCCTTCCATTCTATTGAAAAATCAATGGAAAAAATATCCTTGGGTGAGAATTAGCAAAAAAAAAAAAAAAAGGGGGGGGGGGTGTACAGGGGAAGGGACTGAGCAATACAATGTGCATTGCAATCACATCAGCGAATGGGTGCACTGAGCATGTTGGTTGACTTCTATAGAAATGTTTGCTAAGGTACTGGGCCAGGGAGGAAGTTTGTGACTGCTTCTATCAAAAATTTGTGTTGATTTTACAAAAGCACCAGAGCCATTTGAGTGCATCCAGGTCCCGATCATTAGCTTGGGGGTCCTTTCTCTGCTAGAACATTGGTTCTCAAACTTCCTAATGCTACGACCCTTTAATACAGTACCTCATGTTGTATGTGAGTGTATCTGCATGTGGGTGGACCTGCCTGGAGACGGATAGAGGAGCGGTGTCTCAGTTCCTAAGACCATTGGAAATATGTTTTCTGATGGTCTTAGGCAACCCCTTTGAAAGGGTCGGTCGATCCCTGAAGGGGTCGTGCGTGACCCACAGGTTGAGAACCACTGCTGTAGAAGGAACAATTAGAAACAGATACCATGCACTGGTTCTTAAAAATTGTGACTGGCACCTTCTTTCCAGGAGGTTATATTCCCCATCAGCTCCTTATTTCTTTTTCATTGGTGAGGAGCTGCTTCTTAACCTTGGCCTTATATGCAAACTGAGGAGATTAGATTCCCCTAGATTTACAAAGGAAGGCTCAGGGAACACAGAGACAGACCTGCTGGATTCCCAGCGAACACCTATGGTGTGGATTTTCAAAAGCCCTGCAGGGAAAGTAAGCAGTATAGTCCCATTTTGCAAATGAAGAAATGGAGGCACAATGATATGACTTGACTGTAATTCTGAAATGGAGCCTGGAGCCTCAGGTCTCCTAAATCCTAACCTAGTTAGTGCTTTACACTACAATGAGAGAAAAGGTCTGTACTTGATGTCTTCACAGCTTTCTAGTAGTTCTCCCATTCTCATAGCAAATTACTTGAGCTCCCCTCCCCATACCGGCAAGGGCTGTTTCCTTGCACGTACCCAGCTTCCCAGACAGGCTTTCAGTTGGCATAGGTGTTCGCCCCAAAAGGGAGCCATATCTCTCACTTAAGAGAACAAGATGTTGCCCGGCTGGTGTGGCTCACTGGTTGAGTATCAACCCATGCACCAGGAGGTCGCCAGTTCATTCCTGGTCAGGGCACATGCCCAGGTTGTGGACCAGGTCCCCAGTGGGGGGCATGCAGGAGTTGGCCAATCAATATTCTCTCTCATCAATGTTTCTCTCTCTCTCTCCCTATCCTTTCCTCTTTCTCTAAAATCAATAAAGAAAAATATTTTTAAAAGAAAGAGAACAAGATGTTAAGAGACTGCCTTCCATTCTTGGACCCTAGCCAGGTCTACTCCAGGAATGAGAAGCCTGCAACATGCCCTTAAACAATTTATGACAGTGTCCCAGAATCATCTCTGAGGCCCTCTGAGCAAACCAAGGCAGGAGCAGCTGTGGAAAGGGAATTGTTGGGCATTGCTCCTATCCTCTAGGGTCATGGAACAGCTTTTTCTTTCCAATCTTGTCTCTCATCTTCAACATTAATTCTCTTCTTTGGAAAGAAATGATACTCTCTAATTGGGGGTCCTTATGGCTTTGAAGGATTATTTGCCTGGTTTTTGCAGTCCCAAAACCTGAGTAGCAAGAATAAAAATGTCAGTTTATCATATATATTAGACTATTAGTTATATTCTTAGAGTATTCATTTACTTCTAATTCTGTGCACGTGTAGCTCAGTAGGGAAGTTCCATTTTGTTATATATTAAAAGTATTGGTGGTTTAAATAATTCTAATGTACTTTAGAATCCATAGACTCACTTTTAATTTGCAGTTTCCCTGCATACAAGATGGAGCAGATATTATAAAATAGACCCAGAAAAGTTCAGTAATTTCTCCAAGATTACC